TTCCCCCACCCCCCTCCCCAAGTCCTTTCTTCTCCCCAAAACTGCTGCTGTGGACTGTAACCTGAGCAGGGCATGGTTTTAGACCCTGAATAAGCGGGGTTGCCGGTAAGCCTTAATTTCTGCAGTTGCCAGCTGCTAGGCATGTTCAGAAACGATCAAATCCTTAAGCTGCTGACAATACCCTCAATTTCTGTAAGGTGGATACCGTATTCCTCTGCTGTGTCTACTGACAAAAACAGTTCTTGGGGTGTGAATCTGGCGAATGCCATGTATTGTGATACTGCTCTCCTTAGGGTACAGCATTGAACTGTTTTATTACATTTCCGTGTATTTGTATCACTGTGAAGTGTAATCTGACAGTCCAAGACAGCTGTCAGTGACAGTTCTTGTAAATGTAAACATTTGCCACTCAGAAGCTCACACTGCAAAATCAAACAGATCAAAGTGAGGGAGAACATGTAATTTTTGCTAAATACTTCAAAATTAATTGTCACATTATGTGTTTTGGGCCCCCAGAATTCTAAGAGGTTTTTATTACATCTGCCACAGGGTTGCTAGTACTGAAAAAACGTTGCAGAAGTTCAAGGTAGTGGTGAAACTGAGTGGCCTTGACTACAGTATGGAGGACATACTCATACACTGATTCAGTGTAACTTTCTGTGTGTATTCTTAATACCGAGTGGGAGACTTGTGCTTCTCCCGAAAGTACAGTAGTACTGGGTCTGATTTACGGCTGAAAGTGTGTAGTCCATTACTGAAAAGGTAGAGAAATTAGGTTTTTCTTAACAGCAAGCGTTATGTTGGATGTAATAGTGGGAGAAAACGGTTTGAGTTCTAATTACAGAACTTGTTGCTTTGATGTAGGTAATTAAAATTAGAAAGACTAATGCTGATTTTTTTTAAATAGGAAATTAAAATTAATTAACTTTAAAAAGTGTTTTGGAAAGAGATCTAAAATTTAGAAATAACATTTTAACATCAGTTCTGTAACTTCATATCTAATGTAAATGCCTATTCTCTTGTGATCTGTCACAGGCTCTTAAGTACTCATCCAAGAGTCACCCCGGTGGTGGTGATCACCGTCATGACAAGATGCGAGACACCACAGATCCTTCACCACCAAATAAAATGTTGCGGCGCTCTGATAGCCCTGAAAACAAATACGGTGACAACACAGGGCACAGTAAAGCAAAAAGTGTGCATACTCACAGAGTTAGAGAAAGGGATGGTGGTGAGTTATTTTTAATTAACCTTTATTTAAACAGTTACTGATTTCTCATAAATATTAAAATTTAGCCGTTATCACTCAGGTGATGAGAGTTTTACACTAAATGTACATTGTACCGGGCTTGGAAGACTGCAGCGAAACCCAAGTGCAGGTTTCATTGGAAGCAATCATTTAGGCATTGTAGCACTTACTAGTTTTCTTATTTTTACAGGTATGGTAGTTTTTCTTGTAACTATAAAGATTAAATAAACTTTTTTTTTTTAAACTGGTATGTCTCACTTACTTTAGACATACTGCAACATTTGATAACATGAAGTAGTATTCCAGATTTTTCACTAACAATAGACATTAACTGTTTTAGAGATGTTGGTTTTTTTTAATAACTGTATGTTGTGGTGCTGTACTTGTAGCTACATGCTTCATAGACTAAACCCTGTAAGTAATGAAAAAAAACTTCTTCATATTTAGCTGCTGTGTAGAACTCTTAACAATCAGAAAGTGATACTCAAAGGTAGCGCTTCTAGAGCCTTGCTTGGCAGGAGCTTAGAGAAGAACGTTCACAGTCAAGTCAGCCTTCTGTGTTTTTACAGGATATTATAGACAGTAGTAATATCCCCAGTATTTTTTAACTGGTGTTATTTTCTATGCCTGCTTCCTACGAAAAGGAAAGAGTAGGGTTTTCCATTTAATAAAAAATGGTAACAGTTGCAGTTTAGAAAATCCCAGTTACTTACTGAATTTGGAAGCTTGTTTTCTGTTTTGTAAGTACTGTGTTTGATCTTTGTATCAAGTTATAAAGTATTCAAGTAGAGAACTCTGAGCTTTAAGTCAATGCTTCTTTGTTCCATATAAAGTTAACAATTTGTGATGTACAGATATATTTATTGCTGCACTAGTTTTACTTGTTATAGCAGTTCAAGTAAGATAAAGAAAATATTTGTAAGTACCTTTTAGGAAATACTCGTTCCACACCACAAGTGTGTTTATGGTACCTGAGTGTTCATACAATTCCTATTTGTTTTTCTTTCTTTGGATTAATACAGAGGCTCTGTAGACCACTGATAATGTGATATAATTGTGTAGATGGATTATAAAAACATGCATCTTTTGTTAGTACGCTATTTTTCGTTATATCTGATCATACTCATAAGTATAGTAATATAAGAATTAAATGCATGTGTAAGGCCAGTAGGCTGCTATTCCGTGCTACTTTTGAGGACACAGAGGTGTCCTCTCTTATTTCCTCTTCATGTGTCCAAAGATACTCATCCTACATACTCTTACAATTCTGCTTAGTTTTGCTACAATCAGTAATTCTTTCTGCTTCTGTGGAGCTACATTTTGGGGAGTAATGCATATAAGAAAACATCTGGAGGATGAGGCTCTATATGGGGACTGTATTTGCTTATTTGTGTGTTGGAATTGTTTTTAAGATAGGAGAGACATTCTGAAGTTCTTACTGAGTCCAGCTGGATTTAATAGTTGGGGAACGACCTGAAGCATGGATGTATACAGTAATGATGAAGGAAAATGAATTATTTGCACTTTTTTAAGTGGAAAGAACACTATCATCTGTACCTTCTCCTTCCCCAGGCTGTTAACACAGTGGAAAATTTCATTTATTCTGATCTGAAAGTGGTCCTCTGCACATCATATGTTAATAGACCGGGAGAAGGAAGTAGTCTTCAACAGTCTGAGGGAAATTACTAATTTTAAAGGATGAACATTTGTACTATTTAATGGAAATAAGAAGTGATTTTTTTTGTGTTGTTAGTAAGGTTAGTTTGGCCTCAGTTTCAGCTTTTTAAAATATACCCAAAATGACCAAAGTTGTGTTAAATCCTGTGTATTGTATGTAGTAAACCAAAGCTGAGCAGATGTGAGCAGGAGGATATCAACTTTGGTTTTGATTTACTGAATCTTCGTCTCAGTATGAATTGAAGGTAGGTGTTACAGTATAGGTGAAATGGTGTGCTATTACGGGCATTTGCATATTCCTAATATGCAGAAGATGTAAGCTAATAATTTACCGTGTTTTCTGTCTATTGAGTTACACTGAGGTGCTGTTATTAATATAGAATTCCTTTAGTTTTGCAATTACAGACATAAAGTGGAAAAAGAAAAAATTAAATAAAATCACCAATATGAGTGAAGAGTATTACTTGGCTTTAATGCTACTGTAGTTTTCTAGCTTGTTTTCTTCTTCTGAGGGAGGAAAAATAGTTTTTGGGGTTTTTTTTTAATTACTGTGCATTTTATTATTTTAAAATCAGTGGTGCTTGATTTGGAACGACTACAAAGATGTTACTGCCTTCTTATGATCTAGCTGAACTTAACAAAACAAACCTTATTGAAAAATCTCCAGTATTTATTTTGCCAAACTGCGTTAAAGTCCCAAACAAATGATCCCTTTTTCTCTCATTTCTTAGAAAACAAAACAGAACAAAAATCTGGAGTATTACTACTGAATATAGAGTGGAATTAACCTAATCTCTCTCTTTCAAGTAAATATTTAAAAATACTCCTATGTATCTCTTCGTGATTTTTGCTCTGAAGTGAAACAGGAAGATTCACTGGTGTAGCATGCTGATACTTGGGACTCATTTAGTCATGACTGGCTTACTTTTTTGTGGTAAAGACAACTGACTAAATGGCATTTAAAGATTTAAGTGTACCTTTATAAAATGTAAGACCTATAATTAAATTGATTGAAAGTTAATAACTTGAAAATGGTAGAACCTCCCTCTGTAAATACCTTTGGTACCTGTATAAAAGTATTTGTCGTTACAGCTTATTTTTGTAATACTCATGGTAGAATCTTTTGTGTTTGTAGAACTGTAATACATGGTAAGAAATTCCATTGCTTTCAATTAAGGTTTTAAAACGTGTGTTTTGGGTGAGCCCTCCATACTGGTAACAGTGCAGACAAAGCGTTTTTCAAAGTTGCTTGCTGCATGCTGTCTGTGGAAAGAGAGTAGGTACAGAGACAATCGTTTCTCTGGAGAGAGACTTCCAACTTTACCTTGGACTAAACATAGTAGAGTACTTGCAAGTGTTTGTCACATCCCTGGTTTCCAAAGAGTGCTTGTACATCCAGCATATGCAAAAACTGCAGTAACTTTGTTCTTGCTTACAGGTCCTTGTGCGTGGGGATGTTGTCTCCATACAAGCATTAAAAACATAACGAACAGCTACCCTCCTCAGTGCATCGCTTATTTATAGTTCAGCTCCTATAGGCAAGTGTGGAGTTTGAAGAGATTAGGGGGTCTTGTGAGACCAACTCAAGTGTGAAGTTCCTTAACAGTAACAAATAGGGACTTAAAGCTACCATTGTTTACATGGAATAGAACTATGAAGGGCCTTGTAGATGTGGAAAAATGTTTCCGTTAAAGAAAAAAGAGAAGTACAAAAATTTGAGGATTCTTATGCTTGAGGATGGACAGACTGAGAGCATAGATGATCCTTGTAGGTCTTTTATGCATAAATGAGGTGATACTAGTGTACAGGAAAGAAAACAAAGAGGTCGAATAAGTAGGGTTGCTTTGGGAATGCTGTAAGGGGGATATATATATATTATTTAGGAGTAAAAATTGCAAGATGCAACCCTTGGTAAAAAAGGGAAAAAGATGTTTCTACTTAAATGTATGGAGCAGAATGGCCTACTAAGATTCATAGTAGAACTTTGTGCAAAAAAAGTTCAATTAAGCCACCTCTTACTCAGTTGTTTCTTATTGTGAAGAAAATACTGTTTTGCTGCATTTGTGTTTAACAGACTTCGAAAAATGTATATTTGCTTCATGCCATGATCTTACTGAATTGTTCAACAAATGGAAAGCATTAGAGCATTAATGTACACAGCATGAGATCTTCTGCTGGATTGTGTGCTATGTAGACTATTTTAATAAAATTTGTTTATAAGTTGTGATATTTAGATTCCAAAATATAACTGAACATTTGTGAATATGTTTCTTTTCCATGTTTTCTTTAATTGGCAGTTAAGAATAGTGTCAGTGACCACTGTTACCGACTGTAATACAGTTCTAAGATTCAAAATCCTACTGCTATTAGAGACTGAATGGAATATTTTAAATCATGAGTTCCTAGTTTTATCAAAGTAGTGGTGGGAGCTTCTGTCATCAAAGTGTTGGCTTGCTTTGTTTCTAGTGGTTCCTGAAGGAGTTCAGAGTCCTCTTAGCAAAGGGACAGCGAACGGCCAGAAACAGAGAGCTCGCCTTTCTTTACTGTCTTAGCAACCCTTGCAGTAGAGGAGGACCAGAGGCTAACTGCTGATTAGATTAGTGTGATCATTGACCAGCAGTCAGAAATAAACAGGGTGTTAGGGCAGGTATGAGAGAGTGGAAGCTGCCTGAGCAATGTGCATTGGAAAGAGGAAATTGCAGGGTAGGTGGAAAGAGGGAAGTTTGAGAGTAATGAGGCATAGCAAAGAGTTGAGGAAGAAGCTGGAGTAAATTCTATCTATTTAGTTAGTATTAACTGCTGTTAATGTTAAAGTAATTATTCATTACTATGAAAACCGTTTCCTCACTGTAACTCTATGGTCAAAGCTGGGATGAGAGAAGTCTGTGATCACAAATGAGAGTAGGCTCTCCATGAAACATGCTTTGAATACCACCACCACCACCACGTCCCGGTGTGAAAGAGGTGATTTACTCCTCTGTTCCTTGAATATTGGCTGTTTGGATGGCTCTAAAGGAGGTGGGGTTTGGCGGTTTGATTATACAATTGCTTCTAGGACCATTCACCTCTTGGAAGCCTTGTCTGGATTATTAAAAAAAAAAAAAAAAAAGATGGAAAAAGTAGATTTCTGTGGTTTTCTAATTTTAATAACAGCTTGCTTTCAAGTCTCACTGGTTTTAGTACATTCAGTTTGGGGCGAGGGGGATAATTTTAAGTTTACTTTAAAAGTTTAGAAGTTTTAGTCAGAAAGTAGCTTTACATTTACTCGTTGTATTCAGCAATGTTTCTGAAGTGAGTTTTTGCTG